GTATCTTAAAGGCAACAAAACTATTTTTAATAGCAACATGCACATAATTATATTATCAGTGTTTTACGTAATCAAGTATGCTATAGAAACTATGAAAATATACCATAAATGTTATGAAAAACGGGAAGAATGTATACAGCAGGTATGTATATATGCTTAAGCAATTTTCGTATTACTGATGAAATTATTTACCTTATTGTTTTCATTTAAAGTTAATGAAGCTAAGTTTTAAAAAATTTGTTACTTCTAAAGTTTTTTAATGTGCTAATCTCTGCACTTAAGATTGAACATTAAAACATGTAGAAAAAGTACGAAAAGATTGTCGCCGCTGTGGGAATCGAACCCACGTCTTCGGCATTCGCGGCCTGACGCTCTAGCCACTGAGCTAAACGGCTGATATCCACAGCGACGAAAATCTTAACGCCTCCTTTCTATTTTAGCATTTAAAGCTTGGCGCATCTATTGTTTAATCCTTTCCAGCATACAAAAAATTAATGTTAATGTCGCCTTCTAAAGTTTTTTAATGTGCTAATCTCTGCACTTAAGATTGAACATTAAAACATGTAGAAAAAGTACGAAAAGATTGTCGCCGCTGTGGGAATCGAACCCACGTCTTCGGCATTCGCGGCCTGACGCTCTAGCCACTGAGCTAAACGGCTGATATCCACAGCGACGAAAATCTTAACGCCTTCTTTCTACATTGTTATTTAGCATTTGAAGCAATGCTTGGCGCATCTATTGTTATATCCTTTCCAGCATACAAACAATTTCGAATATCGTTTTACAACGATAATTCGAACGAGAGATGTCGCCATTGCTTTTTATAAATTTTTTAAAGTTTTTTAATGTGCTAATCTCTGCACTTAAGATTGAACATTAAAACATGTAGAAAAAGTACGAAAAGATTGTCGCCGCTGTGGAATCGAACCCACGTCTTCGGCATTCGCGGCCTGACGCTCTAGCCACTGAGCTAAACGGCTGATATCCACAGCGACGAAAATCTTAACGCCTTCTTTCTACATTGTTATTTAGCATTTGAAGCAATGCTTGGCGCATCTATTGTTATATCCTTTCCAGCATACAAACAATTTCGAATATCGTTTTACAACGATAATTCGAACGAGAGATGTCGCCATTGCTTTTTATAAATTTTTAAAGTTTTTTAATGTGCTAATCTCTGCACTTAAGATTGAACATTAAAACATGTAGAAAAAGTACGAAAAGATTGTCGCCGCTGTGGGAATCGAACCCACTTTATAAAAAGCAATGGCGACATCTCTCGTTCGAATTATCGTTGTAAAACGATATTCGAAATTGTTTGTATGCTGGAAAGGATATAACAATAGATGCGCCAAGCATTGCTTCAAATGCTAAATAACAATGTAGAAAGAAGGCGTTAAGATTTTCGTCGCTGTGGATATCAGCCGTTTAGCTCAGTGGCTAGAGCGTCAGGCCGCGAATGCCGAAGACGTGGGTTCGATTCCCACAGCGGCGACAATCTTTTCGTACTTTTTCTACATGTTTTAATGTTCAATCTTAAGTGCAGAGATTAGCACATTAAAAAACTTTAAAAATTTATAAAAAGCAATGGCGACATCTCTCGTTCGAATTATCGTTGTAAAACGATATTCGAAATTGTTTGTATGCTGGAAAGGATATAACAATAGATGCGCCAAGCATTGCTTCAAATGCTAAATAACAATGTAGAAAGAAGGCGTTAAGATTTTCGTCGCTGTGGATATCAGCCGTTTAGCTCAGTGGCTAGAGCGTCAGGCCGCGAATGCCGAAGACGTGGGTTCGATTCCCACAGCGGCGACAATCTTTTCGTACTTTTTCTACATGTTTTAATGTTCAATCTTAAGTGCAGAGATTAGCACATTAAAAAACTTTAAAAATTTATAAAAAGCAATGGCGACATCTCTCGTTCGAATTATCGTTGTAAAACGATATTCGAAATTGTTTGTATGCTGGAAAGGATATAACAATAGATGCGCCAAGCATTGCTTCAAATGCTAAATAACAATGTAGAAAGAAGGCGTTAAGATTTTCGTCGCTGTGGATATCAGCCGTTTAGCTCAGTGGCTAGAGCGTCAGGCCGCGAATGCCGAAGACGTGGGTTCGATTCCCACAGCGGCGACAATCTTTTCGTACTTTTTCTACATGTTTTAATTTGTTACTTCGTTCTATTCCAAAAATCATTCTAGGCCAGTTTGAGACTGGCCTGGACTGAATGACTGAATAAGCTTTTGAATTTTCACTGATTTTTTTTTCTAAAACAATAATAAATATTTATCGTTTAAACCTATCTACTTATGCTGAAAATTTCCAATGTTTTATAATCAAGTTTTAATTAATTTATAACAATAAAATTAGTACCGGAAATTACAAATTACTTATTTTTATCAAGATTTAATATTGTCGGCATTTTCATTTTTATAAATAAATGCATCACATTGTATTCCTTCAAAAAAATGTATTATTATAATAATTACCAATGAATAATAAACATAACAGCAAATTTTTAAAGAGAAAGGTTACATCGATGAGCCGTCTATTATAATTATGTTTCCTTTTATAAGCATGTAGTCCTAATCCAAAAAGCATATTTTCAAAGATAGAAAAATGTCTATAAATAATTCCTCTATTAGAAATGGGTGGTAAGAGTCTCTAAATTAATAGTGCCAAAAATCATATGAAGGAATCATCCAAACGCTCCAGAAGTCGTAGTGTCTGTGGAGCTTTTTACTTTGACAAAGCTATGCAGCAAATGTTCTTGCAACAGTACTCTGTCGAATCACTAAATGTCGTAGCAACGATCTGGTCGTTTGCCAACCTATCCCGCCAAACCACAGGATAAAAATGTCTCGCAATCTCTTAAGCGTAGATTATAGCTTTACAATTCAAAAGAGAATTGTCGTAAGGCATTTTACAGGTGTTATTAATAACAACAGAACGCTTTCGTTTGGTTACTATCACTGATATATTTCAATAGATAATCTTGACATGTAAATTCTCAGTTTAATTTTAATATACTTCAAGATATGTCACTACCGTTGCCTAGATGGAGTGACGACCTGTGATCATGATTCGTGGCAGTTTGTGGGAGTGGCATATGTGCAGCAGTGGCATCAAACTTGCTATAATGATGATAATGATTATACGGTTAATAACTTGAAAAGATCTGATTTCAATAGGCACATGATCTGCCACTTCGTGTTAGCGAATTTATAGTTGTAGGACTAATTTCTAAATTGTTACGTGCGAAAATGTTGAGATATCAGGTATAAAAGGTATTTAACGAATCTTATATCTTATAAATTGAACCACGTATTTATTGAAAATATCTCAAACTTACATCTTCAACGGCTGTATTGAAGTCGTTATAAATTAAGAGATTATAAAATTTAAATAAAATACTAAAAATGTATTATTTATTAAAAGTAACAGCCTATACAAATCCTACTGCTGGGCAAAGGCCTCCTCCGTACAGAGGGTGTCAGGGCATAGTCCACCACGCGGCCCCACTGCGGATTGGCGTATTTCACATATCTTCGAACTATTTTTTTGGTTATTATTTCAATAATTTGCTAGTTTACTCACGATGTTTTTCCTTCACCGCTGAACACGTGATAAGTTAGCACTTAAAATTAACAAAATTTATTCGTGCTGGTACCGGGGATCGAATTCAGGTTGCTCAAGTATATTGAATTAAAGGCGAGCGTAATACTTTTCCATAATCACAATTTCCAATCATAATGCTTCATTAAAATTACATTATAAAATGTCTTAGGTGTAACCATTTTTGATCTTTACACACAAACAAAACTAATAACTTGGTTACAGATATATCTTTAGAGGTTTAAAAGAAAAAGTTTCATTTCTTTGTCTGTGTAATCTTTATCGTGTATTTGTAAGCTTGTAAACTAAAAAAAGAGATTAATTTAAATTACTTAACAAAACGATGTAAAGAATTTCTAATTCAAATCTATAAAATAAGCAACGCTACAAGCAAAAAATTATACAAAAACTTCTTTCTCCTGCCCTTAATCATTAGGTGGTGATGGGGATCATTAGGTAGGCATGTCCTTTCTTTCCATTTCCTTTATCAGCGGTCATCTCAATACTCACCCCTTCCAACAGACATCATTCTTCACGAAGTTCATCCTAATTTTTCTCAGTCTACCTCTAGCTTTATACCCTCTAACCACATTAACACTCATCACTCTTCTAGTCACACGCCTCTTATCCCTTCTCATAACATACCCATACTATGTCAACCTACCTTTCCTTATTTTCTCAATCACTGGAGCTACTTTCATGCTTTATCATATATTTATTCCGGGTTGATCCTTTCTAGTCACACCATGCCTCCATTTTAACATTCGCATCTATGCCACAAGCATTTTTCTTTTATGTGTCTCTTTTGCCATCGCACCACAGCCTTGTAAACATTTCCTTTGAGTTTAAGAGACATTGCTGGGTTAAATATAATTCGAAGGTCGTTCACCATTTCATTCAGCCTCCATTTATATCAATGATCCGAGATACCTAAATACCTAAAACTGGTGCAGAGCGGAAAATAAACTACAAACTCATTAATTCAAATTATAAAACAGCTCGTGGAAGTTTTTTTATATTCAATAGCTTAATACTTTGTTTATGAACTTGGTCCGTCATTCAGTAACCATTTTATGTGTGTAGACGATTTTTTTATAAAATACGGGAATGCGACTATTGCACTGAACGGTGTTTTAATCATGCAAAGTCGTCACGAAAGCTCTGTGACGTAACTTCATAGTTTTTATGACACGTCACCTATAAAATTTAAGATACGTAACGTTATCGTAACTTAAAACACACTCGATGGTTTAACACCAGCAATCTCTGTACTGGTTGGGGTGCCTTAGTTTTCGCTATTTTCCACCGGTGCGTGTAGTCTGATCCGAGATTCGTTAGAGAGCTATGAACATACACAATAATTATCAACGCTCCCGACTCTACACATGGATCAATGTATATCCTCGCCGTTTCAATTTGGACCGGAGCCCTTCAGGCCGCGACACTCGAGGCAACAGAGGCAGGGCGGCGAGGTGGCAGCCCTGCGCCGGGGCGTGGTCGCACATCATTAGCGCGCTAGGGCTCCGCTCTATGGCCAGGGCCCTATGTACCCGCAGCCGTAAATAGCGCCTCACATACTGCCCGCGTTGACCGGGTTGCTCAGCGAACACTGCTATGAGGGACCAAAGTTGAAATCGAATTTACACGTCAAGATTTCGACCTTATTTAACTTTATAATGAAAAAAACATGTGGCAATTTACTTCAAGAAAATATATTGAGCTATCGATTATGTTACTTTGAATATTATTAATAAATGTAACAAAAGGCACTAGACCTGATTTATCAGATTTGCTTCTACAACATTTTTATCGAATTTATCATAGAAATTATTTTCGTGTAGCGTATCGAAAATACACCCTAAAGGCGGCCGTGTCGCAGCAACGAGCTACGGCGCCTTATCAAGTTGAGTGGTGATATCATAAACTCGGAGGCGCCGTTGTCGGAAGACGAGCACTCCGCCGGCGTATCCCATCTCATCGCATTAGGCGCGGCATCCGAGCTAACCGTCTTAGCCACAAAGCGATACGGAGCCGCCGCAAAATGCCTATAACTGAGTTTCCTCGACGTCACAGGTTGCATGGAGGTGCAGCGACGCGCAATTATGCACCCTCGGGGGGCTAACGGGGTTGAATGGGGGTGGAAGGGGCCTGGCGGGGGGCCACGCGGGGGCGACAGTAGGGGTGCAGGGGGCCGCGCCCGCCGCGATACTCAATAAAAGAGTAGTGTTGCGCGAATTTGTGGCTGCCCTGACTCGCACCGATTAGGGCTGCAACAACACGAACAAAGTTGAAATATATTTTTTAATGTCAATTTCATTTTTGCCAATGGTCAGGCAAATAATTTCACATTTTGTTTACTTGTAAATTGACATGTATACAAATTTAATATGAAGTTTAATTGCAGAAGATCCATGGGTTATCTTTAAAGAAGGTAGATTTAGTTAGTATTGTTAATTTTTTAAACGACTAATGTCGGTTAAAAGTTATGTGGGCGGTTCTCTTTGGTCGCTGCGACTTATGACTATGGTTAAAGCAAGATTGACGCATTGTAAGTCCACGGGTGATGCAGGTGTTCATGGGCGACGAGACATAATTATTGATATCGACAATTATCACTAATTGGCTGAAATTAAACCCAAACAATCTGAAAAATATTTGACACGGTCATTAATAATTTAGTTCGAATATCGATTTACAACGATAATTCGAACGAGAGATATCGCCATTGCTTTTCGCAAATTTAAATTTTATAGTGCTAATCTCTGCACTTAAGATTAACATTAAAATTTGTAGGAAAAAAGATACGAGAATCTAAATCTATTGTATCTCTTCTACAACGTGAGCTTATAAAATTAGTCATATTAAATACCCACGTACAGTTTCTGTGAACCCTACGCTCGTAGATTATCTAGATCACAAGCAGGCTGGCTATTAAATCAACGAGAGCACACAGCCTCTCCCGCCGCCGCAGCCCACCTTATAATTATGAAGTGTCTCATCTGACACCGCTAAGTGGAAATCAATCTTTCAATGGAACGCATTCCATATCGCACCTTCGAAGGTAGACACCGTGACGTGTTTTATTCCATATAACATTTATACTTTGTCGTTTATAAAAAATAAATATTATGCTTTTAAAACCGGCCAAGTGTGAGTCGGACTCATGCACGCAGGGTTTCGTACCATTATCTATAAAAACGGCAAAAAAAAACATGTCTGTTGTATGGGAGCCACACTTAAATGTATTTTTATTTTGCTTTTTAGTATTTGTTGTTATAGCGGCAATATAAATACACCATCTGTGAAAATTTCAACTGTGTAACTATCACGGTTCATGAGATACAGCCAGGTGACAGACGGACAGACAGACAGACAAACAGACAGCGGAGTCTTACTAATAGGGCCCGATTTAGCCTAAAGACGATAGCCCTAATAAACTGATTTTTTGGCTTTTGGTCCGTAGAATATTAAACCTTCTAATGCGGAAGTCGTGGGCTGGCCGGAAGCTACAAGCTAGATACGGCCCTAAGCGGGTAGGGCCGCGCATAGCCTCATTGCCTCATACAAGCATTTTCTTAAACTAGAGATATATCACATACGGGTCATTGAAATTCGGTACGGACCGTGACCCTGATAGCTGTCCACTGTAGGGATCACGCTGTGTTACTGTATTTCTGAGCTGCTTCTAAGGTTCTCGTTCAATTGACTTTTTTATCCTTCTATCCAATCCGAAGAAGTAGTTAGTGTGTTTGGTGTCATTTAAATTTCACAAAGAACAAGTGGACAGACGTGATAGCTTCAATTCAATATACCTGAGCAACCTGTGTTCAAATCCCCGTTATGAATTTGCTGACATATTGCGGTCTCAGCGGTGAAGGTAAACAACGTGACGAAACTTGCATATATTTCGAAATAATAACAACAAAAAGGTATTTCGTAGATATGTGAAGTCGGCCAACCAGCAGCAGTAGGGTCGCGAGGTATAGTCCATTGTCCAGCAATGGAATATTTCTAGACTGTTACGTTATTTTTTTTATTTAACTAGTGATGGTCTATTCACGGTCTATCCTTGAAGCGATGTGTGGATCTTGACAAAGAATGTGAACATTGAAAATATGTTGTTTCCTAGTATTTTAATTCAGTTGTTATGTTATGTAAAGTTTTTTCGGACGGTCTAATATTAGTATACCATAAATACTAACTAACACACAAAATTTTGCAAATAATATTTGTTCTGTGTGACATTGGTTAACCCTCATATTTTATTTCAAAATTTGAGCACGAACAAGCAAATTGAAATTCTTTTCTTTTGGTCGAGGGTCATTAGCGGGCGTAAGTAAAAGAATTCACCAAAATTTCATCACAATCAGACGAATTTTTCAGGAGCACCTAGATGACCATTATAAAAACATTCATTTTCATTTAAAAAGTAGTGTAGTCTGCTACTCTTTAATTTTCCGATGTCTATAGCGGCTGGCGACCACTTGCCGTCAAGTAAGCTGCTTATTTGCTTAACTGCAAAAAATAAATATTGAACACTCATCAGTGATACTGGAACCCAGATTCTACTCTGTCTACCGTAGCCAAAGATTACGTACAGAAATCAAATATCGACGATATGACTACCTGTGTAGGTCACCATCCATTAGGGTAGTGGAGAAATAACTAGCTGTGCTTGGTGGTTGAAAAGTTAGGATTGCTATTACTCAGATCCATTAGGGGTAATGCTTCTTGCATGTAAAATGCGCACGTATTGTTATCGGCAAAGGAAGTGCGTAACACTATATGTGCCCTCAGCAGAAGCACCTCTTTGTACACGAGTGACAATCGAGTCGAAGAGGTTGCTTTGTGTCGTGATTAGCAACGTCAAGTGTTACTTAATAAAGACCCTTGCAATTTTGTCCTTCTAATATTGAAGCTGTACTTAAGTTTTATGGTACGTGATGAATATGAAAAAAAAAAATATTTCACTCAAGTATATCGTTTTAATGTTAAAATAGAAGCCGCAAGAATTAACTAGTTAGTTTACTATAAGTTTGACTGTCGATAGCTAGTAAATTAGTTAAGTAATACTTACTATCAGTGATTTCATTATAATGCACATGAGTTTCATCTACGGGTATAGTTAGCAATAATTTATATTTAAGTAATATATAGTTAATATTAAAAGGAAATAAGTGGCACTGACCCGGACGGGCCTGCCCATTCGTGCAACAGCCGAGGCTGCTGCGTGGCCCAACCACCAAAAACCGACGGTGTTTGTAACTGAAATCCTCTGAAACGGCTCGACCGATTTTCGTGAAACTTTGTGTGAATATCGGCCAGGGTGGAGATTCGGGCAATATCTATTTTTCATCCCCCTAAATGTTAAGGGTGGTCCACCCCAAATATTTTTTCTACCCTACAAATTCCTTAGAAATAATTTATACGGCAATATAACGTTTGCCGGATCAGCTAGTACTAAATATATATTTATTAATTTTTATATAACTAAAAAGGCAAATAGGAACATAAACCAATTGGAAAAGTTTTTTACCAATTTCAATAAATTAAACACAAGTAGAAAAATGATATTCACTAAGTAAATCATACGACTATACTATTCAGTTTTCCAAATATCTAGCTGTGATGATATGATTTATTGTATATCAATGGTTGATCATAATTTTTAAAGTCTTTTGGCATTAATTTCTTTACCTTTGTTCTATGTTGTGTCCAATTAAGACTATAAACTATCAAGTAAATCAGATGCCACATTATATGGTATCTAGTTGAGCACAAATGAAATGTTCGGTTAATATATAAAAAGAAATGTCTATAATCAATTCTTTGGAGGCAATGTAATTTGAGGTAAGATAGCAAGTAGCAACAACAATAATAAGTAACAACACTTCGATGTTCCTTTTGATAGAGATTACTATTATTATTTTGAATCTACGGTATACGGTATCCCGGTGGTAGCGTCTTGACAATCAATAAGTAAGTGAAATGCTATTCTATATTGAAATAACGTATTTGATTTGATTTGATTACCAAATATATGCGATAAACTGTTTGATAATTTATTTACAATTATCACATCCTAAAGTAATCACAAATATTAAGCCCTAAAAACGAAAAGTAAAAGATCTTTAACATATTTATCGGAACTATATTCGACAGTTACAACGCTGGATAAAATACAATAATTGCCGAATAAAATAAACGTTTCATTTTTTATCGTTAATATACTTCTTGTCGAAACTCACCTTGCTCTATAAATTACTTTGATAATGAAATAACAAATTTGCAATTTGAAAAATACTAATAAATTTTTAATCTACCACATCAGCATTTTATACAATATGGAAGATCTTGATATATGGTTATATGTAATTAAGTTCGTCTTAAGTGCTATTATTTTGGATTAAGGATGTATAGTTACTTACTTATACCTGAAAACTGACTTCATTATTTCCGTCAAAAAGTAGAGTTATAACCATAATAAATAATTATTATAATTTAAAATGGCTTGATACTCCTCTTTTTTCGTCTGTTACTGGTTTTCAAAATAATTCCATTAATTATAAAAAAGTTGGCCAAATGAACTACTTACTGAATAGTTCTTAAACCACAGTACATATATTACAATTTTGTCTTGGTAGTATTGCGAAAGTGGGTCAAAAAGTTGATATTGATGATTTTTATGGTTTAAAATTATTTTCATTGATTTCATTCTGTAGTCCATTTTATTTCCTTATTTGAGGAGCGTATTACTATATACAATTACGTATTGAGTATACTAAAATGAAATATATAAAAAAGCAATTTCATTTATATTGTACTTATAAATGTGTGTTTGGCTTCCGCCCCATCACATGGTAAGAGCAGATATAGCCCTAAATGGTAAACGCCCTCATCCCCATCCTTGGTAATGTCACGGTGTAATGTGAAGAGAACACTACTGCTTAGACTTGGCACTCGGATAATAAAACCGTTTGTGGATGAAAACCATTTTTCGTCCACCAACGGCTTGTTCTATCTATCTATATATATATATGAATACATGAATAGAGCTATTTTTTTTCAATACTTTTATTTCTAACATACAGACATCGTACTTGTTAAAATAAACACAATTTCTAACAGAATTTTGTTACAATTGATCGTTTTCGAATTGAACTCATGTCAGAACACCCGAGCTTATATCATCCACAATGGATCGGTGCTTTTAGGTCCGATTTCGCTTACAGGTGCGACCGCGAACAGTTCTTTCAGCGGAGCTGGACGTGTGGTGGCTTGACTGGTTTTTTAGCGGGGTTCACACGTTACGCCCCCGCCGCGGTGTCGCGTTACCTCCGCGGCCTTTGGGGCATTGTGGCCCAATCGCTTTGTTCCCCATTCGCCCGGCGTGTTTGCTCATCCCTGGCCGAAGCGCCTCGCCGTCGCCGTTCACACGCGCTTTTTTCGACGGCTCTAGTTTCGGCGGCAATACACCGCACCGGTGGCTAAGATTGACCGTATCGTGTTCCCAGTCCACGGCCGTCTGTGCCCCTCTTGTTTGTGTTCGTTCCTTTTTTGAACTTGACGCTATTTCTGCGATTCGTCGATGTTCTGTTTTTTTTTTTTTTTTGGTGACAGACATTTCGAGACGTATTTATCGTTTGACAGCACCGTCGTGAAACACCGAAAGGGAGTGTTTTCTTTTTTAATAATTTTTCTATAGTCACAGTCTACGAAACTCGACAATAAATGTCGTGAGTAATATGAACAGATTCAAGCAGAAAACGACTATCTAAAAATATTTTATTTCAACGTTACAAAGTACAGCTTATGTTTAACATTGTTTCACGTGTAACGCAACTACATAATGTACATTACAGGATTTACTTATTATTGTTTACGACGGCATTATAATAAGACATTATTTTTGTATACAGTATTATTAATAGAAACAAGTTTTCTGTAAGAAATGAAAGGGGGTATAATTTATTAAAAATCACTCGGGCTACGCCGTGATTCAACAGCAGATCAAGGTATCAAGAAAAAAACCCAATCTCTCATTTTATTTGAACTTTTCCCCGTTATTACAAAAGACAACGGGAAAGACGCCATATCTCGTTGTTTTCAGTTCATGCCAAGTTGGCCATCAATAATGATGAGTCGGTATTGTGGAGAACAGGCTAGAGTTTTTGTCCGCCACAACAAAAGACCGCCTGCCATTTCGCGGCGTAAATGTTCCATCCATTGAGACATTTGAAGCAAACATTTCACTTTCGCGAAAGCAAAACAGATTCGTAAGAGACTTAAGAAGTCTGATGGTTGGACCGGTTTTAGAACAGTTTGTTATTTGAAAAGTACGAGTTTAGTGAAACCATCTTTATGAATTCTGACACATGAGTTTTTCAAGTTTGCCACGACAGTGGCAGGCTGTGTGGCAGTTGAGAATCACGATCGTTCACGCATGCTAAGTTCGACCAATTGGAATAACAAACCAACTAAAACTCACGAAATTGCTAGCGAGGAGAATTAGAAACATATTATAATTACTTATTACGCATATTCGTAAGCATACATAGGCATGTGTATTTTGTTTTTCCCCTTTTATGGAACACAATTTTCGATATGATACTAATTGATAAGATTTTTAGAATTTTCTACTAAAAGAAATCAGTTTTAGGATCGCAGCAACGAATTTTTCATACCGTCTGGGGAGTACAAAAAACTTCTTTATATGTTTCGAATAACACAAGAAAAAAATTATTTAAAAAAATACCTATTTTTACAAAGTCCTTGATATATGGGTATCAATTGCAGTATTTTAAATGTAGTATTTTAGTTGACCTGCCTAGGCTTTACACGTTGTATAAACTTAGAAATCAGTACTTAAAATAGAAAATAAACAAAAATCCATATCACAACAAACCGATTTCGAAATAAATAATCCATACTAATATTATAAATGCGAAAGTAACTCTGTTTGTCTGTCTCACTATCACGTCAAAACTACTGAACCGATTTAAATGAATTTTGGTACACAGATAGTTTAGAGCCTGAGAAAGGACATAGGTTTTAATTGGAAAAAACTTTAAATATATATATATATTTTAAAGAAATATATTTATTTAAGGGCTTCAATTCGAGCGAAGCCGCAGGCGAAAAGCTAGTACTTTATAAAGCACATTTCGCAATGATGTATAACTTTTTTTCATTATAAAACGATGGCATTGGCACTCGATGACTACCAATGATGTTTACAAATTGTTCCGTATTACATAATATGACATGATTATATAACTGAACGTGACAGATTATGTAGAACGTGTGATATGGAAATAGATAGCAGTCTACTGAATTGCAATCTAGTTATATCAATTGGCGTAATTTGAGTGCCTCAGTTTCGATGCAATAGTGTCATATCTACTTCGTATTTATATATAATATCATTGGATGACTACCATCAATGACGCACCAGAAATGATGAACGCGTACTACTGCCTACTCCATCTTTAGCCTGGTAGCTATGTATCAGCGTCTGCTGTTTCACGAATGCGCAGACTCGTCCGGGGAAGAACCACCTCACAGAAGACTGGAGTGAAGTGGAAGTATTATACTTTCGCGTTGCGTCTGTTGAATGGGGTAAATGGGGCCCACTTCATTTAAAAGCTGTCAATGTATCGGTAAGCCCTCAGGTGTAGCAGATGTCCATGGGTGGTTATCACTCAACGTCAGGTGAACCGCCTGCTTGTATGCAACGTTTTTATCATAAAAAACTCACCGAATGCAGATTTGATGATATTACGTTACGATACGTTACGATATACGTTTTACATGAGGCTGTGGTCCCCTTTTGGACTGTAAGTTTTCTTTACTGCAGTTGTGATATTATTGTACTGTTGCGATGTTTTGTCAACCGACTCATCGAATTCTCGTAGCAACCGTTTTTTGTCAGTGTTCGAGTCGAATGTTCGAAACGAATGTTTTAATTGAAACAGTTGGCAAGCGTGCAGGCGGTTCACCTAATGTTAAGTGATTACAGTCACCCATGGACATGTCACAGATGGGTTCCAGATTTCAATCAATAAAAATGCCGGCTCCAGCAGTCTCACTCACTGGATGAAACGTGAAAGCATAGCTTTCCCCTGCTTCCATTTTGCTTCAGTCTTCTGTGAGACCGTGGTACTACCCCACGAGCTTGCCCATTTGTGCAACACATAATACTGCTGCGTGCCGTAGTAAAATGTAAACAATTATATGCATATAATATTAGTTTACACAGCAGAGCTTTTATTATTTCTAAATTAAGGAGACATGTTGGTTTGGGCGATGTAATTATTTATAGATAGAAAAGTTTCACCCTTCAAGTTAACCTATTTACGGAACATAATGTTGATTGTATGTTTGTAGTAACGAATGTTTTAGTTACAAATAACGTGCAAATTCCAGTTCTAGATAACATATATTTTTACTTAAATAATGGCTATTTGAAACAGGAAAAAGTTATAACCGATGTGTGACTGATTCAACGATGATGTTATATTTATGCTTGTGATGAGTTAGTGATACCTTAAACTGGTCAATAAATGACAACTACTCCACTTTATGGAAGTTAGGTGCATTTCAGATGGTAAAGCCACTACCTCTGTGACAGTTACTTGCGCCAGTTCTTATATACTTTTCATGTAAATGAATTGAGCGGTAAAGTAGTAGTTTAAGAAAAGTTGAGAAAGAAAAGCGTCGGCTTGTAGAAAGGGTAAATGAAAAAAGATTTTCTGTTCATGACTGATTGTAGAAAGACTCTTGAATACAATCCTAATGTAATAAATATAATATCCTGCGGAAGGTAGCCTGAATTAAGTATCTAATATCTGTCATAGAGTGATTGTATGCTTAAGAGTATGAATAGAAGAATAACTTTAGATAAAATCTTTTGATTTGAACTTTGACTATTCATGCGTGTACTCTACAGTTCTGTTTTGATGTTCTGAATGTTTGAAGAACACGTGTATGTAATTAAAATCTTCATTCATATTAGTGGTTCAAAATTGAGGACAATTTTTCATTAGTTGACCCCTGCGATATTTTTGTACGAAATTTGCAAATATATTATATATTTATCAACGAAAGGTATCGCATTTTTAAGAATAACGGTAAAATTCGGATTACTTGACTATGTTTCATCTAAAACATATCAAAAATATTTTTAGAAAAAAGTTTAAAATGAAAGTTTTTTCTTTTTATGAAAACCTTCTACTTGCATATTTTTTTGTCGATAGTGACGAACATAAGCTTTAATATGGTATTTAAATAATTAAGCTTGATGAAAAATTATAGAAATTATGGCGTACCGACAAAAATGAAATGTTTCCACGATTAATTAATTCTCCAAAAATCGTAACTCGTCCATAGAAAAGTTTTTTATCAGTATTTAATTCTGCCCCGATGGAATTATATGGATAAGTTTATGAGCAGTGACCTTCCCCCGCCTATTATATGCCAACGGACAGCCAATAGACTGAGATCATATTAAGTCACATCCTTGCGTTAGTTATCGGATGTGCAAAATTAAATAAAAGGCACACTTTACTTAAGAAAAATTTAATTTAATTTTACAATTACTTAAGTTAAATAGAAAGATATAATTATAACAAGAACATAATTATAACAATTATAACGAGAAATTGTGTCCGAAAATGAACATGTATTTTGTAAATTTCTAGTTTAAAATCTCGGAATTTTTTGTATGAATTTTAAAGATTCCGTTTAATATGTACTTTGATTGATAATTTCTTGTATTTACGCGATTACCATTATAAATTAAACTAATTTTACGGACTCACTCAGGTATGTCCCGTGACCATGAAATTAAAATGAACGCGATAAATCCGTAAAATTAGTTTCATTTATATGTATTTTGATCGTTAATAAAAGTAATGGTCATTTCTTCCTTAATTAATTCCTTATTCAACATGAGTTGAATCGTTTTGATTTGATTTTTATGAAATACAAAAAATCGGATCTGATAGGTAATGTTTAAACAATGTTAGTAACAAAATGATATTTCTTATTCATTGTTACCTTTTTGATAGAGACCACAGGTAAACAAATATAGAAAAACGATATAGAATATTATCTATTCAGAATTATCTTATAAAATCTTTTATATATCCTGTAAATATCTTTCAGTCAATTTTAATTTTTAATTCTTTTTCCAATAAAATTCGCTTTCAAAAGCTACCTTTAGCCTATATACGTACATACAATAGACCTGAGAAAATACGAAAAAAATGTTTATGAGAAAAATGTATAATCATCCTTGTAAAATAAAAACTTAAAAATTTAAAATCAACGTTCATTTAATACAAGCCTGACGAAATGAAGTACGGAATATTCATGTTCCACGAAAACAAATTTTGAATTTATCAAATTTATTCAATTTGTCGATTTCAGGACGATCATTCAAATATTCGTATAATAGGAAAAATATTCGAAAAGATGCGAGTGTATAGTTATATTTTTTTTTAATTTCTTAGTTTCTCCGCGCAAAATATGAATAGTGCATTTTTGATATTTTGCCCACGTATTATTATGTCGTTACTATTTTGTGTGCATTACTATTAAGGTATTTTAAGAACACTGTACTTAAAACGTTAAGTACTGATTTAAATAAAGCTTCACCCACAACGCGGCGAGCGGCGAACGGGCGACCGCGCGCTCCGCACCGGCTCATTTCTTAAAGTTAATCAACTTTAAATGAACCTCAGACCTCGCGAGCAAGTTTCGGTCTTAATGCCACCAGTTACGGTTGCAATTGAATGAGTCGCACGAGCGTTGGGCGGAGCCGCGGGAGAAATCTGGCCAATAGAGTGCGGTAACAAAATATCCGTATTGGCTATTAGCGAGGCCCCGCCCGGCCGGCGCTGGTGTCGCAGCTGCGGAACGCCTTATCTCGCGCGGGGCCAGCGGCGCTTGGGCCCTTTCGCTGCGGAGGCGCCGCCGCGGCCCCAGGGTGGCGTGGAGACGGCGGCGAGCGCGGCGGGCGGGCCGCAGACGCGCTCCGAACGCCGCGGCGAGCGCACGTGCTGCACCCCGCCTCGAACCACGCACCCCCTTGCGCGACTCGTCTTCATATTCCCGAGCGCTCTACATTCGACAACGATCGGCCTAAGCAACGGACCTTCGATTTGTAATAGACATCCGAGTGCTAGAACCACAGTGAACTCGTACATTGTGCTCAACTCGATCGACTCTACGCCAGTTATGTAAAGAGCCCGCCGCTGGTAGAGTCGGTCGCGATGCAGGCGATGAGCGCCAGCGCGGGCGCACCGCGCGCCCCGCAGCGGTCGCCGTTCGCCATCCAGGAGTTGCTGGGGCTGTCGGACGGGAGGGACGGGCGGGACGGGCGGGAGCGCTACGAGGGCGATGGGCAGCAAGCCCGAGACGGCCGCGGCCACTTCGCACCGCAATTCCCGCTGCCGGCGTCCGTCGCCAGCCGTGTGGCGTACGCGGCGGCCTTCAACGCTCAGGCAGCAGTCGCCGCCGCCTTCTTGCCCGGCCCACCTTTACTCCACGCGCCGCCCGGTAAGTCGAATCCTGTTTAAGACGCAACCTTTTACCCTCCAAGCCTGGATTTCTTTTGCTATTAAATTAGTCGACACCTCTCTTTCAGTCTTGTCTACATAACACTTGTCACGAGCCTTCCTTAAGACTTGTAATAATCATCCTATTTATTGTTTTATCTGACGTGCGTATCACAGACTTCGTTAGCTCCTCGCGAATCACGACCGCTGGCTCTCTGCCTTAGGTCGTTGCTAGGCTTTAAATTTCGCTGCGAGCCGGGAACTAACCAGGCTTCCAGACGAGCAGATTGCACGGGACAAAAGCGAGTTCGCTTTGTGACGGCATAATTAGCGCGTGTGGCGGGCGCTTTGTGGCGCGAGCGGCTCGGGTTACGCGCGTCCCGGCCCCTGAGGTAGAGTCGCAATTGCCAGTTCGAATCTGCGCTCCTGATGTTCGTAATCGCGAGTATAATGTGCGAACAGTACTTGGGACGAACACAGGCGAAGGTGATCGTGCCAATGTCACTATACCACCTATTTCTATCAGTGTAGAGACCGTTATTTAACTTTTCTGATATTTGTAAACCAATAAGACTGAACAGATTTTTTAAAGGCAGTCGCTTTTTACAGTTTTGTTATTGATTTTTTTTTATTATTGAAATTACAACTGGTGTATATTGTCAAAAATGTTATTAAAACTTTAATAGTTAAATAACTTATCTATTTATAACCATGGCATCAGATGGTATTTTCAATGCGTGTGGTTTTATGTCGTAATAAATGTGTTATTATACTATTAGCCTTTCAATTTTCTTTTATTATTTTCCTCAAAATTTTATCGCTTTAATACACAAACATACATTGTTAGAGAATAAATAATAACATTTTAAATTTTGAAGAATTAAGAAATTATGAAGAAAATTATGACAAAAATTTTTGCAATTCTATTTGAAATTGAACTTGTCATTTTTACTTTAAAATCCAGTAACAGTGACGGCCATTTCACATTCCACAAACAAACTAACGAAGATATCGATATTTTTTATTGGATGATTATCAAAAATGCTTTTGTTTTATATCAATCTTTAATATCAAAGACGGAAGAAATAACCTTCAAAAGCGTCGCGCGAATCGTCTTCCGTCGGCCGCGCGATTTGATGCAATGTATTACAACAAGTTATTGCGGTTGTATAGTCTTATAACTATATTTATATTGTAGGTTATATTAACCACGACGTTTGAATCGCGGATGTCATTTTCGCGATATAATGTGTAATATTGGATTCAAGTGACGGCTTAGTTTTAATAGACTTTAGGGGTTTATGTTCGACTAAATATATATTTTCAATGTATGTTCACCGATATCTCGCGTGTATCCATTTTGATAATTTTTGCTAAGAAGATTATAGTACTCTCGCCGTCATCTCATATTAATACCATTAGTATTGGACCTCTAAATCCGAAGATATAGCAGGGAACACGTTCCAATCAAATAGAAACGGTATAGTAGGAAATATTTGAAGCAGTAGTTTTATTATAAAAATGTATTACTTGTAGAGAGTTGACGCTGGAAGATTTTTCACATGAATATTATGTAGTTGTTTATAGCGTGATGTTTTTATAATGAATAACTTTATTAACATTTTTAACAGCCGGAATCTAGCATTAGGTTTTAAGTTTTATAATAATTATTTGTTGCTTTAGCTTACATTGTTACAATTATTATCGTATTGATAGTGTTCAATACAGACTTGGTACCTACTTGTTGTAAACTAAGTTATCAGTTTAGCTTTTAAATTATTTAACTTTTATCATTTGATCTTTATTACGCTAAAATAAAATCGAATATTGAGAACCCTCAAGTAAAATATTCAAGGTTTTAAAAATATGGTCGGAAGTACAAATATAAATTAAAATAACCCTTCATTTCTGCTTTTTATTTTAATTATTTTATTGAATTCTGTGATAGCGAACTGACTAAAGCAAATCGAAATATTGACCTTCTAAGTATGTACTTCGACCTACCTTCTGTAAAATTAATTCCTATTAAAATGGTCAAATAACGCAATTGAAACAAAAACAACAAATTGTTTGGAACACGCCTCCACTACTGCATAGTAGTGATCAAAACTTTATACTTTAGAACCTATCCCCTCCATGCATGTTCTTATCAAATTCATTTCTATTTACGAAATTAATTGTATTTAAGCACTTAAACATTCTTATATTCTTATTCAAAAGCTAGGAATAAATAAAATTTTATTATTGATGAAATGGAAACATTTTATTTACACAAAACAGTCTTTTATCCCGCTTAATTTATTCGATGTTGCTAATTTATATATTATATTGAACATATTTGCTTTTTTCTTATTCTAATTTATTTATTGGGATATTTCGTATATTTTATTTCATTATAAAATAAAAAATTACGTAATTGTTTAATTCTTTAGATTTTTAAACACTACAATACAATTTATGGAGGAATTCATCCTCTCTACGAGAAAAATTTCCAAATCCTTTCTTAACTGTTGTCACTTATGTTGTAAAAAGTACTTACAAGAATAATACATTAATATTATTTTAAAGCTTAGATACAACTAAACGTTCTGGTTCGAGCTGTGCGTTGTAAGTCAGTTAAAGTTGGACTTTTATTAGTCGAAATGAATATTATGAAGGAGCCATATTATATACTAGTGATAAATATCGGATGCAGTTCTATCGTTCGTCATTGCCTTCTATAAAACATTAAACCATTTTCTTCATTCTATAGCAGTCGGAAACAACTAAATGTATGCGGAAATAACCAACGAAGTAGCAATTTGGGTAAACTTGGTTCTACCGCGATAAAAGTAAATTAGTAATAGCTTTTTAGCAGTGTAGGACGTCCCCCCACTAGATGTAGTGACAGCCTGTGCAAATGTGCGGAAAGCCAATGGATGCAGGTGACTCAGGATCGTGCTTTGTGTCTGTGGGTTAGGCCTCATTGCAGCAGTGGTCTCAAACTGAAATGAAATAAGATGAAATGATGATGACAAATAGCTTTTTTCCCAGAGCGTAGAGGCTATATATTAATTAACTACATATTTGTTTAGAAGAGATGAAGAAAAGGCAGGCAAAGCATCTTTTGGTAAGTGAGGAAGTCGCCAATGAACGATTATAAAGCCAAAGGGCGTAGAGTGATGCAACAACGCCAGAGGGCGTAGTGATTCAGGCTTGTTGCCAACACTGATTGAGATGTTTTCTGGCTACCTCACTAAGAGAACGTTTTTTTATGTGAAAAGTTGCCCAGCGTGCGGGCGGTTCACCTGATGTTACGTGAATACCGCCGCCCATGGACATCATCACACCCGAGGGTTGCAGATGCGTTGACAACCTTTTGAAAATTGGGCTCCGGCTACCTCACTCACCAGACGAAACGCAAAAGTATACTTCCACTTGACCCCAGTCTTCTGTGAGGTCGTGGTACTTACCCGGCCTGCCCATTCGTGCAACAGCTGAGGCTGCTGCGTGGCTCTACCACAATGAAAAAAGTAATTCGTTGCCTTAAACTTGTCTTTGTGAGGTGGTGATCATTCCACATGCGAGCTGTCATTATATGGAACAGGATCTCTTACGTACGCTATTCTCTACCACAGTGGAAACTCGTTATAAATAAGCCTGTAGTAAAGTATATGATTTGTTTACGTCGACAAATTGTCATTAAGTTTTCTTCGCTCTCGGGATTCAATCTCTGGTCCGGGTAACACTCGGACGGACTAAGAAACCGCTTACGGTCGAGAATCTCACGGTGTGAAATTCTCAACATCTAAAGTAAAGTAACAGCCTATAAATAACCCCTGGGCAAAGGCCCCTTCGGTACAGAGGGTATCAGAGGATGGTCCACTATGCGGCCCATCTTCGTTGAGCACGTGATAATACAGCACTTAAATTTAATAATTTCATTGGTGCCGGCACCGGGGATCGATTTACTCGAGTAAACTCAGTTCAAATGGCAATCACGCTGGTGGATCACCTGATGTTAATTAATAACCACCGCTCGTGGACATTTGCAATACCCGTAAGATTGCAGATGCGTTGCCACCATTTTTATAAAGTTGACCCCAGCTATCTCACTCACCAGACGAAACGCAGAAGTGTAACATTTCTACTTCACGCCGGTCTTTCATAAGGTCGTGGTTCTTCCCGGATGGACTTGCCCATTTGTGGAACAGCGAAGACTGTTGCGTGGCACCACCGTATCGTATTTTGCATTAATCATATCTTATTTATTATAAGTGACGTCATTGTAAAGACTTCCTATTATGGAGTTTTATTTCAATACGCTTACCGCAGCTATTTGTTACCATGTGTTTTATCAAAGTACACCACCGACAAGTCGATGAATACTCATACTTTACGAATTTCGTTCTCGAACAACGACAACAAAACAAAGAAAAAAAACAGTATCGTAGCTTTATCAAAACATTACGTTTACACGCCTATGTCTTTATGCCTTGCTAGAAATATCATACTCGGTAAACAGTTTTGATGTGCCGTGATTGTTGGATACGTGGCACGTGGAATAAGCTGGAGCTTGGATCGATGCAAGCGTGTGTGTACAGACAGAGGGGCTGAGACAATGCGCGTGCGCCGCCCGCCGCTCCATTGTGACACTGACGCCTCCCCCCAACCCCCACACCTAATTTGCCCCCTCAGATTTCATCGCCAGTCTGACCCATGGAGCAGTAGGTCAAATCCAAACATCAGATGAATCTTTCTCTACTCTCGAGAGATCTGATGAACTAACCGTAACCAACAAATTGTCGTCAAAACCTTTATTCTCTTTAGTCTTCCATTTTTGTGTCTCCCTCCATTTATAGGGAGTTTCCATCATATTGTGTTAAAGATTACCAACATTACAAAAACATTTAGAAAGGTCCAAAGTCAAATATAGTATTGCTTTCATATTGATAGCAAAAACATGGTTTAAAAATAAGGACCAGCTAACGCTTAAGGGTATCACGGCAACATGCAAATTGTTTTGTTCAATAGTAAATATTGCTCTCGGAGTTTTATAGTTATACGTTAATAAGTAATACTAACACACGTAGAGAAAACTATGTATTATTTACTAACAGTATTATTTACCAACCGACACTGAAATTAGAGACTTCTTTCATGAAAAAAAATGCATTTATTACATTCAGACATGTTCAATTTCCTTATTAAAATGCTCACATTTGAATAATAGCATTCTCAAAAGATTCTTTTGATCGTTACAATATACCACAGAACTTGTTTCACTTCGTTAGAAGCGTTTTCAAACACAAATAAACAAGGAGACACTGATAGATTGCGCGTAAGTCACACAATTTTGAGTGGGAATAGAAGCTGCGACCTGCACCGAAGTCGATTACTTAACTCACTGTGTACTTAGCGACGACGCCAACAGATTCATCCAAGTGTATATAAGTAAACTTAGTTTGTAAGTACTTAACCGCTGCATCCACCATCTGCAACTAACATATGGCTTTATATCAACAATATCCAGTAGGGAACAAGAAACAGTATCCAGTTATAGGAACAAGGAACATTCACTTTATTCATACAATATTTTTGGCGTGCGTTCAAACCGCACTCCTCACCCACATTCGAAGACTCCCACACAAAAGCCATCGACACTGGCGACGGGGAACTGTAAATTGACGGAACTAAAAAAAAACTGGAACGCGATAAAACCCAAACAATAGTGAGGTGTGCGTGGTAAGCACACGTCAAACATAATCAACGACACCTCACAAAGTGCTCCACAAAACACCGCTTTGTGCCGCGTCCTGAGAAAAGACAAGACAGTCGGAGGGCTCACACCTAACCGAATGGGCTTTGTGAGCGCACAATGGGCCGGGCACAATGCGCCATTTGTGCGCGGATTTCGTCAGTCCGATAAAAGGTTAGCTGATATCCACGCAGGCCTCAATGCGAATTAGTGGTCACTCGGTTAGAAGGGCCCCCGCATTGAATTCCACCCATAATGGCCACGCTGGCCGTACGTGTCCCCCGTCTATACAACCTGTGCAGTGATGGAACAGCCCGTAGACAGTGTTTGGGAAAAAGACTCGTGATATGTCCTAATTGCCTGCAATGATAATGATGATACCTTTCATCATAACGCAAGCTCGGCTGAAGTCGTCTCATACGTATCATGTTGATTAACTTAATGAGACGCAATGATTTCCTATATTTACGCAAATTCTTCAAAGTTGTTAAATTACTTATCCACGCAGAAGGTACTTACAAGATCTAACAAGTACCCTGCGCATAGATCTGCGCAATATTTGATGATAAATCAGTTAAAGATTAACTGTGAGATGAAGACGGCAAACAGCTTAGTCTGTTCCGTGGTCATGGATTCTGTAGATTATTAGGACCGCTGGGTATTAGAAAACATCAAATGATTAGAAGAGTATTGAGTGTAACACTGAAAAAGGTAAATGAATAAAGAATTTAACTTTGAGCAAATGCTAATTTAAGAGATGAAAAGCAAACTATACAATTATGTGAAGTCAAAGATAATTCGTGATAATAAAAAAAAGTCGGTTAAAATACAAAACAATGCACAAAATCAATGAAAAGTTGTTTGTAGTCAAATCCAGGTAAACACTATTCGTGATAGAATATTCAAAAATCCTTATTATCCTAGCGAGTATGTGGCACCTCGACCCTCATTCTTGTACACAAATGTCCCAGTTGGTTCTGCATCGGTCCTTCGGGCATTCCGGCCTCGCAACAAATTAGACAAGCAGATTAGCGGGGTCATCAACGCCAGCCCTTCGCTTAGAGCACCGCCATACATGCTCATAGCTAAGCTTTCGCTAACACTGCAACAAGTCCTTACGAAAACTATGTCGTTATAAAATCTTTTCTCCGTCATACAGTTTTCCTTATCAAAAATGATGTACATTTAGTAAAATACTTGAATACGAAGTCATAAGGGCGATATTGCGAGATATTAATATATGTGCTGTAGATCATTTTGCCATGAAGCTACACTACTACTATGTATCAGCGTGCTCACGGTTTTTTTCCGATAACGCGCAGTATTATTCGTTGTACCAGTATTGGAATATGTTTTTGATATTATTTTATTTATTTCAAATAATAAATCATGTTAAACTGATGTACTATATTGGATAAAAAGGCAGTTAAATCTCTTGTTATAGCGGAGCGACTAGGGCGTGACTACAAAATTGTGAAGGTTACTGCATCCGTTAGTATTCACGGGGTCAAATAGGAACACAAACATAATTTTACGTACCTACGTTATTCCATATACTTCATGACTGAATTTATTTATTAACGGTAGTAAATATCCCAATTACTAAAATTGGTTTCATATGTATATCTTTTGAGAACGCGTTAAAAGGATTTTATTGCAAACAATATCTTTTCAAGATTAGCGCTAATGTAATTTTCTTTAGCAGAATCCCTTACATTTACAAACTAGTAAAGTTACCTTAATTTGCCTATTAATATATTATATACATTGACATATATTAAAGTAAAAAAATCTGTGCATTAACTTTTTATAGTTCAATAATATAAGTTCACAATTCTGCAGACAAAGTTGAATAATTACTTTGTCTTGTATCAATCAGTCGATTTCATATGCTTCTGCTCAGTGTCGATCTGCAAATATTTAATCTGAAATAATCCTGTGCAGGATTTGTTGAAATATCCTAATTGTATTCCCCTGCACAAAGAAGTACATTGACATTTTGAATAGTACCTACTATTCAAAAAGTCAACGTCAAAATGGGCATATTGTTTATTTAAGTTCTCATATCTCATATCTTGTATTGATGTTCTTATATCTGTATATTATTTGTTCTCCATCTAATGTTACATGTTTGCTGTTTGCTTTGTCAAAATAAGTCAACCATGTTCGATTAAGTATCTATAGTGTTATAGCCGTACTGGAAGGAGCTACATAAAGATAAGCGAACGTTCAAAATGATAAAGGCTTGCGAATGTCAAGTTACTTTTGGCTGTATAGGTACAAACGGCTATCGCTCGCCGTAGGCCGTGGACGACGGACCTTACCCGAAAGGGTTGTCGGTTATTGGTTCGCGTAACCGCTCTCCGGGCACGAACACGCACGCACACACGCGCAGCAATGTGTGTGCAGTTAACCCTCCGCCGCAGAACCAGTTTGATGGTGCGCGGCGAAAAACACAAACTGAAGAGAGTCGCACTTTAATGTTCAAACATTTTTTTCTCAACGGATTTTATTTTCTTCTAATTCTCTACATTATTTCAGTTAATTTGAACGAGATTTATAATTTTTAGGCTGACGTGTGGGTAGAGATAGTTGATTCTGACTTTGGCAACGTTACCGTCATTCAGCCCGCCGGCGCTTGTGACTTAGGTGGTGACAGGGCGCGCGGGGAGTGTTTTCGCGTAGGTGTGAAGCGGGGATATTAGCCGCGCTTGTTATGCGAACGAGAAAACAACTGCTTACTTGCTTGTATGTATGAACGCCTGCGCGGAGATGAGGAATTAACGGGCACGGCTCTCCGCTCCTAGACGCGCTTTGTTCGCGGCCAAGGAGCGCGAGATTGATTGCGCCGAGCACTCGCTGCGACCCTAATATTGTACACTGACACCTACCTTTTGTCATCGCGTCGCAAACAATGCGGATTGCGGCGTAGTCTCCTCTCTCCTTTGTTCGCGGAACCACCTTCACCGCAATCAGCTTATGGCGTGCGGTCTAAATACTTGACTTCGCTGGAAACGAACCATCGGAGATCCAGCCGCGTGGACCCACCGCGGACTATACCTGGGTCCTACGCCCTCAAAGTGGAGAGATTTGTTCAGCAATTACTCGCGTCGCTAACAGCGGCGCGAGGCGCGGAGAGGCTCCGAGAGGTGCGGTGGGTGAGGGGGGGGTGGGGGGGAGGTGAGAGCGTGCGGCTCGACACCTCGGCACAAAGCGACAGCCGCCACTAATAGCTAGTTTCACACAACTAGGCGTCGACACGCGGCCCCGGCTGTACACCTCCGATATTTTGTTTTTAATTGACTGCCAGCTCTGTGAACGGTAATTTTACGCGAAGTACTAACTTGCGACGTGTTCAATTGCCAGTTGTTGTGCTGCACTCGTTTCTAGCGTAGAATTCATTTATTGCGAGGCTCTAATATTTTAATTACAGTGAATGATTCCAATTTAATTGTTTTTCCAATCGTCAGTTCGCCACGTGACCTGTGGCTGTTATATGTATTTATTTACTATTATGACAACGCTTCTACGGGGATTTTATCGAGCCTGCTATGGTGCTTATTGAAAAACTTAATTATGGCGAATGAAAGCGATTCTTTAAACAGTCACTTCAGGGGTGACAACTTATTAATGGACAAATATTAATGAGAGAAATGAAATCTCGCCAAAAGTGTTACTTAATTTTGTAACACTAACAACATAACAGTAAAAACCATTGAGCGCATGCTCCAAATCTCGAGTCTTATTAATTAACGCGCACGGAACGAGAGGAAAATTGCACGAAAAAACAAACAAATGCAATCGTAATTTTTTCTAGTTATTGACAAACAAACGCCTTTCACGGCAAAATAAATCGCAAACTCAATGTGTTCGCTGCGCGTTAGGGCTGAAATTCGTGTGCTCGCGAGAAGCACTTCCCTAGTCTCTAATTAGCCTGAAAACGAAACTATCGCGCCGGGGCGGCATTTTGGACCTCACTGCTCGCGCTATAAGATCCACTTCGGCTTCGGCGCGTCAGCGACAATAATAGAGGACACTCGACCTCACGGAGTCGCGAGATTTCCCGCGGATTTTCTGTAAAGCAATGTAACACTCGGGCGGAGGAAATATGAAGCGATATTTGCGTTTCAAAGAGGGCCCTCTGTACCCTGAGAGCGACTGATAATCAAATCGCACGATGCAAACACCTTAGAATGGTCTGCTCTACTTAGTCACACGAGTCTATATCGTGACAAGCTCGTCGCGAGTCGAATGGGTAGTAACTGCTCTATTCCCGAGTAAACATTATAAACACTCCCTCCTACACTAGTATGGAATACGGGCCGATTGTATTATGATAATTTATTAGGCGAGTGTTTCTTTGAAGTTATTTCATCCGCTTGTTCCTATATTGAGAATTATTCGACTGCAGATAACTTTTGCTTAAATTTAAGTTGTGAATCATATTCTTAACCGTCTTGGCCATATAATCGTTAAAATTGTTAAAATCTTAAAATAAAAATTGACCTTTAAATTGTTAAACATACTGGCAAGTTCATCGCTACTACGTCATGTTAAAAATGATGGTAATAGCGAAGAAACCGAATAGAATAAAACTCGAATTATTATGCTTTTTTTTTTTCAAAATAACATATAACATAATGTTATTTTGAAGAGCTATTTTGGGAGCGAGTTACCGAGGTTGTTTATTCATTTTGTAATTAAAGTAGGAAAACTTTGTTCAAATGCTTTTTTGTTTACATTTCATCGATTTATTCCTCTAGTAATTTAGAGTACATTTTTGTATTATTAGAAAACGTTCTCTAATGGTGTCCACTATGAAATAGGTGGTTTAATGTTATCAATGTTCAGCAGTGGACTCAAATAGCTGCTGATATGATGGTGATGATGATGTTACCCACTGCCTACTGTTAAACTCTGACAAGACCCCATAGCCTACAAGTAGTCGCATGGTCAATTCACAAGGAAATAAAGTAGGAGAATGGCTCGTCTGATCTTTTGTTTTTTTTTTTGTTTTCGTTACAACAAAATGCTATCCATGGTATTCTGCCATAGTAAAGTAATAGCCTATACATGTCCTACAGCTGGGCAAAGGCCTCCTCTATACAGGAAGTATGAGAGCATAGTACACCACGCGGCACCACTGCGAATTGGTGGACTTCACATTTCTTCGAAATATTTTTTTTATTATTTCGAAAATATGCAGGTTTCCTCACGATGATATTCCTCCACCGCTGAGCACGTGATAATTCGGTAGGTGCTTAAATATAAAAATTTCATTGGTGCTGTCACCGGGGATCGAACTCAGGTTGCTCGAGTATGTTGAATTAAAAGCGAGTCCTCGGACACAGAGCTACAACGGCTATGCTGCCATACTATTGACAGTATAGAATACAGGTACAATTACATATTATAATGTCACTATATAAAATAAAGCTTGAAGACATTAAAGATAACTTCGAATCGAGAGCAATCTCTTACCTCAGGCTTCAGAGTAAGTATCCATCTAGCTTTCCCTCAAAGGACATTATTAAATTCGTTTCGCGGACGAAATATCGCCGAGACGAGCTACGGCGAATTTAGGGGGCTATAGAAATACGACGAACGTCTCAATTAAATCGCTCCCGTCCCATTGCGTAAGGAGAACTCTAATAAAACTTAGCTTTTTGGCAACGGCCCTGGTTCATCATTCGGCGTCCCACTCACTCCCAAACGCGGCCCTCCTCCGTCCCGCTCTGGCAGAGGGAATCGCCGATTATGATAATGCACCCCGGGCTGAATATAAATTGGGCGCTTATTTACAATGACTTATTTAATGTGCGCCCCGCGTTACCGTTATGGAAATTTTATGAACGACCGGAGAGTTATGTATTCATTTGCTTGTTACGTCTAAAGCTACACCTCTCGCTGCTTCGCGTTTGCCTAGTCGGCTCGGCTAGCGTTTAGTTTGGTCCAGCGTTTAATTTTAAAGGTTTTAATCATGTTAAAAATATAAATGTTAGTACACGAAAATTGAGTCAAAGGTACTTTCTAAATGTTAAATGTGATAGACCTAATACTAAGACTCCGCTATCTGTTTGTCTGTGTGTCTGTCTATCTGTCCATCTGTCACCAGGTATCTCAGGAACCGTGATTGTTAGATAGTTGAAATTTTCACAGATGATGTATTTATGTGGCCGCTATAAGAACAAATACAAAAAAAAAACAAAACAAAAAATATTTAAGTAGGGCTTTCATACAACAGAAAAGTTTTTTTTACCGTTTTTTTAGATAATGATACGGACCCCTTCGTGCGCGAGCCCTGGTTTTTAGGAAATGACGGCAGGGCCATATGGCAGCTTCTGTTGTTGCAAGAATACGCAGGCTCGTCCGTAGAAGCACTACTTGCAGAACACCAGGAGTTGTTATACTTGCGTTTCGTTGAATAAATAAGGTATACGGCCCGCACTTTGGCAGTGCATCGACCTCCCCCATAGGATTTGTTCATGTCTCTTGGAAGCGGAAATTACTACACATAAAAAATAAAAATTATCTTGACGTGCATGACATTCTCTTATTTGGTTGTCCAAAATTGTTAAACAACACCACATATTCCCGCCGCGACGGTGTTTGGTTCGGTTATTAGCGAAAATTAATATATTATACAGCGTGTCGTTACCATCGCGACAATAAATGAACACACGTCTATCGCTACTTGTCAATAATCATAAAAAAATATTAACGTTAAACAAAATCCATAATTAAAAAAAAATATTTTTCAAACAAACTAATTAAGTAAAAAAGAAACAAAATTTGTAACACCCTATACAACTCGCGCACAGCGTCATATTACAAGCCTCTCCTTCTAACAGTATGATTTGTCTCTTTTAAATTCATTCAACCCATTCATATGCTTTGTGACCTTTACAAATGAAATGAAGGATGTTCTAAAATTCTTTGTTTTTAAAAATTTAATAACTCTGTAAATATTGATGTTTTAAGAATTTAAATGTTTAATACAACTTTAAAAAGTTATCCCCTATATGTATGTTCATTTATTGTCGCGATGGTAACGACACGCTGTATAAGAATTAACTGATTAACAAATTGAAGAACAAAAAAAATCAGTATGTTAAATAACAAAAAAAAAGCAGTGGTAATATTACTAAAAGATTATTTTTTATGAAAATTGCATGAATAATATTTTCTTAATAGAAAGCATGACCACCGCGGTTATTTAGAACCTAGTGCCATCGGCGGTTCATCTATACTATGAGGTTATTGATCACATCCTGCTGTAATCGTTTCCAAGGACATTGAAATAGGTCTTGCAGTCGTTGGGTGGTGGATACACATCAGATACACACAGATCTTTGAAAACCTTCCTTTGGGGCATATGCTTAATCCGTCGGTTATCTGATAAAATCTTTAAGCAGGTCTCTGCAAAACTTGAATGTGCTCCTGCTAGAGCTAGCATTTTTGAGTAATCTTGGTTGAGCAATGTTCGATGCTATATAAGCATCGAACATTGTCGTGTATCATAGTAAAACTTGGACCAATAATGTGTAAAAGATAAATTTTTGACGTAACAATCGATGTCTAAGTAGCGTCTGAAATTGGGATGGCCTGGCTACATACGATTATCATCAATTTTCATAGTTGAGTGAGCTCAGATGGAAGTAAATAAATGTCATAATAAATATACTTGTTTTCTCCCAAACTTTGAAGGCTTGGACTTAATAATATGGTAAACTTCTTTTTCTGGAGTTCTTTTCCTATAACAAAAATATCCTGACTAGTAGACTATAGCTTCGATAAATATTTATAGGCCATGAATAAGCGATGTTTTGAACCCTTCCAATGACTTTTAACGCCCTGCAGAAATTACTGTTTACGCGTTCATGACGTCACGCTAGTCTTAACTAATTCGAAGTCAAAATTTAATTATACTCTAGATTTAGAAGCTTTCAGTTTATCTATTTTTTTATGTGAGAAGGTGGCAAGAGTCCTGGCGGTTCACCCGACGTTAAGTGATAACCGCCGCCCATGGACATTTGCAATACCCATAGGGTTACAGATGCGTTGCCACCGCTTAATAAAGTTGGTAACCTCAATAACCAGACGAAACGCAGAGGTGTAACCCTTCCACACAAGTTTTGCATTTCACTCATTCATTACTGCAACCATTCGTTATTATCAGTTTTAATTAACAGCTTTATTCTTGCGTGTAACTATGTATAACGTGTAT